CCCCATCCCTGGAGGTATTTAAAAGACGAGTAGATGAGGCACTTAGGGACATGGTTTAGTGGGTGGTGGTGTTGGGTCGATGGTTGGACTCGATGATCTTAGAGGTCTTTTGCAACTTCAATGATTCTATGATTCTATGATTCTATCTACACCCCAGCTTAACCCCAGCTAGCTATTACTAATGACAGCAGTCACATTAGGGACATACTAACAGCTATTCTTAGTTAAATATATACTGAGTCGTATTTTGTGGTAATAGATAACATAGTGAAGACATACTGTCATATAAAACTGTGAAAAAAAAAAACCAAACCACTAAAAAATGCCAAGCACTTTGAAAAGTCTGTTCAATGCATAGTCTCTCTAGCTAAAGGTACCTTCAAGTACTCCTGGACTACTTGCTCTGGAGTGTTCCCCAAGAACATATAGAAATCAAGGATCCCGCCAATGGTTCTGTAGGTCACTGCTGGAGCAGGCTGCACCACAAACTCTGCCGGACAAGAGTGCACAAAACCAATTCTGAATACCAGCTAATTCTAAAACAACTTTGTAATTTTCTAACTGATTATTAGAAAATTTACTTAAGAAAAAAAACACAGAACAGAAATACCTAAGAAACCCAAACCCATTAATTGAACTTGCAATGAAGGGGAAATGTATTGAGGTGACTCTTTTAAATGTCCATAATTCCATTCCTTTACATCCTACAGAGAAGAGAATCAGAAGAAATCCAATGGCTCAACCTTTTATCTTTAAATTTTTAGCACAACTTTCCAGCCTCAAGGGATGTGAAGAGCTCTGTAAAGCATACATATATGCATGCTTATCTAAAAAGCCTAAAGGGCATTTACTTTCAAGTATTGCTCCCTCCAAATTTAGGCTCCGATTCCAGTGTCCTACACATCTGCACAGAGCTGCACAGGTTTTGGGTAGGTTTCTGACCCTCAGGTTTCCAGCTCAATCTTAATGTTAACTGTGTGCTACTTACTGCTTACGTCACATGCACCAAACACTACAGTTTTGATCCCAGTCCCACAGATCATTTAAAAAGATATTTAACTGCACAATGCTGAGCTACAGAGAAAGCTTTCTTACCCATGGCATTGCTATTCATTAGGAAAACACCAAAGGAGGCTCCAGTGCTGTCTTCCAAACACAGGAAGAAAGTTTGAACTCCATATAAGTTATGCATTGCCTTAAAGGATAAAAAGGAAAAGTAAGCTGATTAAAATCTAATAACAGTATCTGTTCTGGGATATTTCAAAATATATCCCAGGTAGAACTTCAAACTTCTCAAAATATAGCAAACAACAAAAAAAAAAAAAAATCCTGACACCTTCCTACTGTTCTGTTTTCTCTTTCCTGGCATTCCTCTCCTTTATGAGAACATTGTCAATTAAAACAAAAAGTTTCCCCAAATATGTAGATAACATAAGCAAGCAGATATGATGGATCTTCAGGCAAGTCTGCATATGTTGCAGTACTATTTCTGGGCAATATACAGGCACATCAAGTGAACAATAGAACCTGAAAGGTGCTTTCATCACCTTTCACCATAGATTAGATTTTACATCTAATCTATATTTATATTAATCCTGCAAGGTAATAATTTTTACATCTAATCTATAGAAATAAGAGAGTGCCTTGCTGCTTTTTTTTATTTCCTAATTTTTTTTTTACATTATTATTAGCAACAGAAACCTTAGAACTTTTAACAATTGTTGCAATAGTTGTGCTACTTCCCCTGCAAAAGAAAACTCGGAACAAATGAATGAGAAACAGAACTTGAGCAATTTGAAATTAGCCTAACTTGATTCTGTTCACTGTTAGTTTAACTTAATGAGTCTACGCTCAGTAGAGCCATTCTGGTAAGAACAATCTTCTACCAGAGAAGACAGTGAGAAGTTGTCTCAAGATAAGGAGTACAAATTCCAAATTATTAATTAATTACATATAGTGGTCTCATCCTCTAGTTTCTATTAGTATAGCTCCTATTTCAACAAAACACTGAAGTGCTCTCTCAAAGTAAAGCATATGGGTGGTTGCTTTGTGAAACTGAGGTAATAGCAACAGATAGTCTTACAATTATTGACAAATGGGTGCCCCGGAAATAATTTCTTAAAGAGACAGCCATACAGACTATAGGAACAAATAACTGCTGACAAACATATTTTATCTTGTAAAGAGACAGCTGTTAAAGAGAACTTTTCCATCATTTTCCGAGCTACAAGGATGTTCACTGAAGAAGCATGTGTCATCTGTACTGAATGCTGCACACAGCAATGCATTAGCACATATTGTTGTTTATTTTGTTTATCAGTAGAAACTGAAGGCTCTCATATATTAGTGCTTATCAACTGGTTTTCAACTGCACGTCCACACAAAAATCAGAAATCAGGGAACTTTCATGAGTACCATCTAGCTTTTAGTAATAACATGCAGTGCCTGAAAAGTCTTTAGGGAAAATCTCAGTGGATATTATTAATGTGTCTGCTGCATAATAGGCTTGGATTCCAGACGTCATCCGCAAATAATGAAGCGTAATAAAACCAGTCCTTACTCCAGAGGGGCCAATATCCCTGCTGAACATGGGCCAGGTTTTCCAGTTAACATCGTGCCGGTACTGCTTATGCACGTGCTCTCCCACACCATAAATGTTGCTGCTAGGTAGTTTGATTGATAGCTGTAAAAACTGGTCAGCATACTGCAGTGGTCCTATGGTGGTATCAAACCTGATGAAACAAGTTAAAAAAATTTTTATAAAGTATTTTACCAGTAATTGTTTCTACTCCTTGCAGTTAGAGCTGGATAGCAGGTTCAGGTCTCCACCAGAGACCCGAAGGAGAGGGAGGCGGGACGGTGCGGGGCTGGAGCAGAGCGACCCTTGCACAGACGACGAGGTGAGCGGTGCCCGTTGATGCTATAGAAACCTCCCATACAAGTGGCCCATCTGTTTTCAGGGGTACGTTTGCACTGCCCTCTTCCACCAAAGCTTCCCACCCTGCACCTGTTGTTCCGAATCCTGAATCCACTCTCTGTGGCCACTCACAGCAACAGGGCAGATAGAAAATTTCTGTGGGAGGGCAGAAACACAAAAATAATCCACTCCATCAGATTTTGCAAATCAATTGCAGCTTTTGCTTGCCAGCGAGAACGGACAAGACCCACTCTTGAGTCCTGCTAGGCCAGTGACTACAGGGAAAGGCAGACTATGGCTACATGCTAGCTCCCGAATAAACCGAGCGTAGATGAGCGCAGACTAAAGTGATAATGTGATCCTTAGCATGGTTCAAATCCCATTCGATGGCTATCACATCTCCTGTAGCAAATTCTGCATAAAGCAACTGCTCAGCTTCTTAAGGAACATGAAGTTGGTGGTGTTGAAAATAGATACAGAGACTACTGTATATATCTGTACAAACAGAACAAGCTGGAGATCAATATTCCTCCTTTACCTCTATTAGCAAAACACACAGGAAAAGTCAACTTCATTAATAAAGTTTCTTCTGTTAATTTAATTTTGCACCTTTCACCATTTCCTTTCATTACAGACAAACAATCCATCTTCCAAATAAGGATTACGAGAGCCTTAAATACTTAAGCAAATCCTGGTTTCACTCCTTGTTTCTACAGGAAGGACTCGAGAAACGGTGGGGAAATCTGAGTGGTGATGAGGCAGAGAGCAGCGGGGGGCAGCCCGATTCCTGCCGCAAGGTGCACCAAGGAGCAGCTTACTGCAAGGCAATGGACTCACTGATTTGCCCTCCTTCCTTTATCTCTGCTGAGCTGTCGCAGCCCTAACAGTGAACCAGACTCTAGACTCCCTTGACCAGAAATGCCTCAAGTTGTGGCCCCACCTGCGGTCCCCGATGGTGCCAAAAAGGCTCCATTGGGCATCTTAGGCATCCTCACTCCTGATGGATGGAGGGGACCATCCGCAGGGATGTTTTTCTACAGCCAGGAGTGTGCCCGCAACACCACCAAAATGTGGTCATTTTCTATCCTGTGACAAGAATGCTGGGGTTTTGGTCATGTTTATCTTAGCGATACAATTAAGTATCTCCCTAAGCAGCCAAGTGCACAGGAATGGTTGAACCGCTCTGCATTTCCTAAGCAACACCAAATATCATCCTGGGCAAGGATCTCCCACAACTCATGGAATTAATCAAAACATTAAATTTCATTCCTTTTGTACATAATCATGTTCATTTTCCTCTTCCATTCTTCTAAGATTTTGAACATTTCGAATTGGAAAATGTATCAAAATTGACCTCTACCCAGAAGTAGTTTGAGTTTCCATCAGTCGTCACTTTTTAAATGAAATAATCATAAATAGAATGTAATTGTGAGTTAAACCAGATTTAAAGCAGAGAGCAATTGGAATGAAGCTGACCCTCAGATTTGAAGGTTATCTCCAGCTTCGTTAAACCAAGAGCTTACAGGGATCTGCAGGAATGCAGTCTTTCCTCGAAAGCAGAGAAAATGCCTTACTTTGAGGCGGCAAACTACCTCGATGTGTATTAACACCATACACGATTTCAAAGGAATATGCTTTTATCTACTCACTTTATGTAGTTTTAATAGTCACGATATTCATATAGGGGAGAGTAACACAACTTTCTCTCGACTTACGCAAACACAGCCACATTAATTTTAAGGGACCTTATCACTTCAGATGTATTAGTAGACTGTAACGACGTTTATCACGATCAGTATGTCATTATCAGTAAGTTCTTTTACGCATAAAGAGGTCCTTAAACTATTTAATAAAGACACAGTGCACTAGCGATTACAAACACTGCACAAACAAGAGACAAAAATAAGGGAGTCTGGGCTTGCTACGATTTTAATCTGCTCATTTACCTTTTCTTTTTTTTTTTTTTTAAAGTTAAAAATACTGACACTTGAGAGAGGCTTCATAGGCCAAATCCTCATCTGATGTATCTCTGCCCACTTTTAATGATTCCAAGGACTACCTTGCCCATCTGCCCACAAACTGCACTGGAACTAGATTTTTTCTGATGAAACAATGGCAATTTTTCAGCTTGTCTTGCAAATGATGATGGTAATAGGTCAATCAGAACTCTAACTGTTTTGGGGGGCTCAAGTGTGACAAATGATGACGGAAGGTTGTAGGCTTTATAACTGTCTGGATAATTAGGATTTTTGTAATGAGCTGGAATAACACATTGGTTCCCACTCTTCCTTTTCCAAAGAGGCCTTCCTTTTGTTTGGTTGTTTGAGAGTTGGGGAAAAGCACTCATCTTGTGTAAACAAATGCATCAAGGATTTATCCCTGAGGGGCTGCCCTTATCCCACTCTAACAGCTTTCTTTGAGATACTCAAACTCAGAGTCAAGCATGATGGTAATTTTCTTCTTGAGAGACAGAAAATGCAACCACTTTTATCAAATTAAACAAAAGCCTAAGGAAAATATACACTATCTTCCAGAGCACTGTTTCAACATGGTTCTATTGAACTAGATTTCACTATTCCCCCTTCCATGTACCTGTTTCATCAGTCACGCACTACTGAATACCAAGTCCATCTTTTGTGCTCTCTGTAATTGCAAATCAATCATTATAGAGGATTCTAAGCAAGAAAACAATACTAATAAGAGCACAAAAGTAATTGCTAATTAACTAAACTTGAAGCATTGATCATTCAACTGACCTCGTACTCTGACAGGTGATCATTCTTGGACTGACTTGATAAGCATGTTCATCCTGACACTTCCCCCTTCTAATGGGTCTTAAAGCCATGCCGCTAGGTTTGTAGGTTTGCTTTATTTATTTATTTTTAGAACCTAAATGACATGAAAGCATTCAATATACGAGTCCGTCAAATATTTTACTTCCAGCATTACACGACCAGCTTATCAGTGCCTTGCACCGGCTGTTCTTGGATATCATAGGTCTAAAGGGCAACCTGGTTTTGGCGATTCAGGGCTTCAGCATGACTGCGACAAATAAGATAAAAGATGCAAGGAAGAGTGTTCCCATGCGATGTGAAGCACTGGCAAGGAGTCCTTCAGACCATAAAAGTTCCCCGAATTGATGAAACAAAGTAGCTGTAAAGATTTCCCTAGTACCGGGGGGAAGTGAACAGAGAGCCAGACCTAAACCCTTTTAGACAGAGCTCTCCATATCACAGAATTTGTTTCCAAAGGCCTCGCAAGAGTCCTTGCAGAACATCCATCAGTCAAAAGAAGAGAAAAAGTAGATTACACGTCCAAGAGGGCACCTCACATATGGCATCTTGGACAGACATTGCTTGCGTGGCGACATGGGCTTTTAGAGAAAACCAATGACATCTGTGTTATTCAGAAAAAGCACCAACGTTACTTACAGCACTCTACCGTTGCTCACTCTGGTCACCACAATGCCAAAGGGGTTCTGCTTCACATCCACTTTGTAGTTTAAATTGGAGGCTGCGGATCCAGTGAAAGATCGCACATGCTCATGGGGGACTTCAAATCTGTGTGTTTTAGGATCAGTGATCTGCACATATTTAAACAACAGAAGTGTTGGACTTTTAAAATCTAATGCCTAATTCAAACATTTTCCAGCATTAACACATAGTTCTAACTTAGGATATTCCCACCCCTATCCCAGTCTCCTCTTCGGCCTTCATTGTTATTATTTTCCAACTTTCATCACCGATTTTCAGCCATTTCCCTCATAATATTTGACCCTGTGTTTTCCTGGCTTAGCAGGAACCCACCACAAGAGGAAGGTCTCCCACAGAAGAAGTCCTGCGCAACCCCAGAACTCATCGATACGCCACATTCATGGCACAGACTGTTGAGTTTTCCATATAAAACAGAAATCATTGGAAGAGCTAATGTTGTCTGTCAAAATGATTGAGAGTTATGGCCAGGCCATAAACAAAAAGGAAGTAAATAAATTTATCCCCAAAATTTTCCTATGATGAGGAAAAAAGGTAGATAATATAAAAGCTGAGCTTTTCAAAGGTCTCAGTAATTTTTCATGCAGAAATTCCACTGTGCTAAACTCTTGTTAACCTGATGCCTTACAACAGCAAAGAAAGGAGGAGCCAAACACTTCAGTGGGAGTCATGAGAGTGCATCAGAGGGATGAATCCAGCCCTCCTAACCTCACTGCACAGTAACAGCCAGCCTAAAATCTTGCACAGAACATGAACCTTAAAACAGAATAAAAAAAGTTTAACCTTGAACCGGAAGCGATTTGGTGTCTGATACTCTCCTGTGAGGAGGACAATGTTGATATCGTTTCCGAAGAAGGAAGGTGATGGCAGCCTTGTTAATGTAGTCTCGAATCCTTGGGCAAAAACACATGTTGCAACATTATTGTGTTGAATCAGACATCGGTATGTGCATAAATTGGGAAGCTCAGCCTGCAGCTTACCTGCCTGAGTTGATCTTATTGACCCATCCACTTTGTACCCATGGTTCGAAGAGAAAAAACACCAGGGCACACTGGTATTGCTTTCGGGACTCCAGCAGCAGCCACGCAGGGTGCAGGTGCTCTGATTCAAGGACATGAGGGGCACAAATTAAACAGTTAAAATGCACATGGAGTGTATTTTACCTCAAACACCAAGAACCTTAACAATATCTGCAATCAGATCAACTCCTTCTCTGAAAATCTATCGGGTGAATTCAATGGCACAGAATACACTAAATAAAAAGGATTTTTTTCTGGATTCAGAGTAGAAATGTGCTTATTAGACATTCATTCTTTCTTAAAACCACAAGATCCACAGGCAAAATGAACATTTAAAAAGAATTATTGAAACATTTGAGCTGTGACAGATGCAGTATAGTCTGACCAAAAGTCACATGCTGGAGAGGGCGTAAAAGTTATAATTGGCTTAACAACTGGTAAACATCCGGTTGTTGAACATCTACATATGCATAATTGATCATCATGTATAATATCTACATTTTAATGTAATTTTCCAATATCAGAAGTGTTCAGATTGCTTCTGCAGAACCTCAAATTGAGCTAAATCAACTTTTTTTTCCAAAAAAAAAAAAGCAAATAAACCTGTTGTTTAAAGTATATATCTCAGCATCGTGGCACCAACCTTTACACTACCTTTTAGTGGTCCAATAAGCTACAGTACATTTGCTTTGCTGTTAGGAATTAATTTATTCACGTGCTGTTTGAGTGAGTGTTATGTTTGAAGATAAGATTTGGGTAATATATCACTAAGTTTCCACACATTTTCTCATATTAAAAACCCAACTCATTACTTAGGGCAAAGGGCAGTAGTAATACAACAAGCTTCACTGAGGGCAAAGGGCAGTGTCCATAAGCGATCTCAGGTATCCAAATCCAACTTGCAGATCTTTAAGACCTTTCTCTCCACCTGCCCACTAATAGAAGTTGTTTCTGCCTTCATCTGATTGTGCTCAAATGTTTTTGGTGCTTATGCCATGTTTATTTAAAATATTCTGCAGCTTGAAACAGGTGGAGATGGTCCAAAATCTCTATTGTTGCTGTCCTTGGTGGCACTTGTTTTTGGGTTATAGAGCCCAACCTGGTCGGTGCAGGTCAAATGTTTTTCTCAGCCTCTGAACAGAGCAAAGATAAGCCAGCTCCAGCCCAGAAATCATGCAAGTGCTGAAGCAAAGCACAGAGGGAGCTCACAGAGCCATTGGCTTGGGAAGCCTTAGTCCATTTATTTGGTAGCGATTGCATGGAGTACAGAAATATCTGCAAAACCACCCAAGATAAAATCCAGATTCACCAAATAGAGAAATGTTTGTCTTTCTGTCATGGACTCATCACATCAGAAAACAGGTATGCTGTCATTTTCATTAGGTTCCAAGCAAAAAACATGGTTGGAGGAGAGATATAGTGACTCATTTTCCCCCACATTGATCCACAAATCAATGCACTTTCTAAGGCTGTGAAAAACCCATGCTCACTTTCTACCTTCCCAGGTCCCACCACGAGAGCTCCCTATTTCCCATTTTATAAACTATTTCAGAGTAAATGAGAAGAAGCACCAATCCCCTCCAAGACTGCAGAGATCACAGCTTTGCTCCCTTACTTCATTTACTTCATTTCTTTCATACATAGGGGAATATCCTAAATACATAAGAACAGAGTTGCTACCTCCATCTTTTTATCCCTTCCTAGACCAGTGACTATCCCATGCAATGCAGAATAGCTTGAACAACAGATTTTCCTAAAGCCTGGTAGTTCAAGCATCTGCGTTCCTAACTTCATAAGCATGCTTGTCTTTTTCTCCAGCTACTTCTCATGAATACTTGTTGACTGTTTTCAGCAGTTACTTTACAGTCCAGTGATATTCTTCTAGCTAGATCTTATTCTACTGGATTTGTAAGCTATAGCTCTGTATTTTCGTGACACATTAAGCTTGCTGCATAAGGAAGTAAATACAGAAGTGCAAGATCGGTTACACCTGACACAGGGAAAGGAGCAGAGTTCATCCAAAGACACTGGAGAGGCTGTTATAAAAGCTATCATTTAGTGTAAATAAAGATGTGAGCTGACCGCAGCCTCTGAGCTATAAAACCAGCATAATAAATACCAACACCCAATAAAGCCAAAGAGAAAGTCAAAGCTTAATTAGAAATAATCCTGGATACCAGGAAACAGTTTACGCTGGGGTACAGTATGACATGGCTTCTGAGCATTGAACTGAGCACCAAGGATTAAAAAGAATAGCTTGTCTATGTGCTAAACTAAAATGTTTCTCTTATGTGCACCCAAACAAACCTCTGCCAGTAGGATATTTTGGGAAAAAAACCACACAAACCAAAACAAAACCAAAAATACACCCTTCCCGCAAGCTTTCAGAGGTATCAGTCCAATAATGGACAACACTAGCTCTGCTCATGGTAGTTCATTTTTTACTAGTGCATTCTTATTGCCTAATCAAACTTCATGGCAATTTTCCACAGCACTGAATAGTTAATAAATATCTACTTTCTTTCAGTATGTCTATCTTCATCAACCCTGAGATCAGTTAATAAATATCTATTTGCTTTCCATACTTCTATCCTCTGCAATCCTACTCATTTTCTGGCTTCATCTAGGACATCTTCAGTGAATAAAGAAATCAAGACAGACACTAACCTGCTATATGAGCTTAGGCAAATCATAATTTTCCCAGCTACTGTTTATTCTGAAAAACACTAATGGAAACCCCTACAGAAGAGTTATATTATTCTTAGCAGGTACCTGTAGTTTTACAGCTCTGCTGGTTGCTGTATTAGAATAGCCTAAAGAAGGACAACCAAAATGCTTCCAGGAGAAAATTTATACAGGAATGAATAGACGCACTGGGGTGGGACTCTGGCTTGTGTCAGGCATGCACCTAACAGCTTTCATCAGCACACAGGTTAAAGTTATCTCTAATCCTGTGAAATGATAATAAAAATAATAATAGCCTTTCAGGACCAACCACTACAAAAATGTTCTGAATGTGAGAGCACTGAAAAATTCAGATGATACTTTTCACCGGGAATCTTAACTCATTGATTCTTAACCCAAAAAGTCATTTCTAAACTCTGCGCTTTCCCAGATAAGAGACACCACAACCAAGAAAGGAAGACATTGAGATTCAAATTGGTTCTGAAAGGAAACTGTGACCATGTCACTTATATTATAAAAGTCTTGTGCATCTGGGTAAAGTGCACCTTCACCTGCTATTTCTGAACTATTATAAATGCTAGTACTTGACCATCAGACAAAAATAAACTGTTGAAGCAAAGTTGTTAAAAGAGTAACTTTTTTAAACTGCTTGATGTCTGAGTAATTTTGTTTCCACCTATCCCAAAACCAAACTGCTGGGGAGTACTTTGGCAGTGGTCTTCAACTTTTGACAGCAAACTGCTACAGTGGCTAGAAAAATCAGACCTTTTGCCAATGGGCTGAAATGGGTTATACAGGAGTTACACTTCCCTGCAAAGTGTTCAGGCAATCACAGATTAAAAAAGGTTAAGAAAACAACTGATATAGTAGAGACAAGTTAAATTTTTGTAACTAAGCATGAAGCTTTATGGGATAAAGCCTATGTTCTAATTTTTTCTAGAATGTTTTCAGACCTTTGTCGCTACTTGATCCGGGATGCAGTCAATTCTCTCTGCTATTACTATGTTCGGACATTCTGGTGAAAATTCTGTTAGGGAAATAAATTAATGGATTTTTACCAGGATTTCCAAAATGTAGGAATAACTTGATTACCTCTTAACCCAGTAACTGCTTCTGCTGGCTGTTTCTCACCATCTTGAAACTCTAACCATTAATATTAATTCAAATGAATAAATTATTGCTAGTGTGATTTATTTTTACCTTTGAAAATTTGCACACAACTATTTCAGATAAAGGTAGGACAACTTCACTTTAAAGTTTTTGAACATATGGGTGACATTGATAATTTTATTTCTTAAGTTATACATTAATCCAGTTTTCAGTAAGTCCTGTAGCTCAATATGCATTGCTTCTTGTGAAAATACATGACAAATTAAAATTAGATTTCGGGTTTGTCAGTCCGAATTTAAGGTGATCTCTTGGCAACTTTAGCTGACAAAAGGGTACTCGATGGTTGTTTTCAGTTTCTCCCAACACTGAAAGTTACTTTACATATATTTTGGAACACTGTATATGTTCGGATGAGAACTATGAAGTGTAGAAATCTTGTCTCAGGCTGAGATGCACACAAATACACGGACTCCTCTGTTTGCATTATCTGCAATATACGCGCTTGTACTTTTTGCTCAGGCAGACTCCTGTCATCTTGTGACTGAAACAGGCAGAAAATATGCAGATATCAGTCTGTATGGGCAGCTTTACTAAAACACCAAAATGTTTGTTTTGGATAAGAAATTATTTTTATTTTACTGTCATTTTCACCTCCAAGCTTTTTGCTTCAATCCCTGTGTGCAAATGGGATTACTCACACAAAATGAGTGTGGGTCTGCTACACACCATGGGGGTCTGCTACAGGCCACCTGACCAGGAAGACCGAGCGGATGAGGCCATCTATAGACAGATAGGAGCAGCCTCATGCTCACAAGCCCTGGTCCTCATGGGGGACTTCAACCACCCCAACATCTGTTGGAGGGACAACACGGCAGGGCATAAGCAATCCGGGAGGTTCCTGGAATGCGTCGATGATAACTTCCTTCTCCAAGTGGTAGAGGAGCCAACAAGGAGAGGTGCTATGCTGGACCTCGTTCTCACCAACAAGGAGGGGCTGGTGGGGAATGTGAAGCTCAAGGGCAGCCTGGGCTGCAGGGACCACAAAATGGTGGAGTTCAAGATCCTTAGGGCACCGAGGAGGAGGG